ACAAGAAGCTTCTTTGAAATTTAGATTCTTAGGTCCAGCTCCTGGAGGCTCAGCTAGCAGTTGGGTAGGGGCTCCAGCAGCGGTGGTAGATGTCTCATAAAGGGCCGTCTACCCCAAATGAGAACGTGTCTGTATATCATATAGAGAGATTATTATAAGTTATGCCGATACAAAAGATGTGTGGCGCGCTGTATTAATTTGCTCCAGCTGCCATGACAAAGTACGACAGATGAGGCGGCTTAAACAATGGACATGGATTTCCTCACAGTCCTGGAGTCAGAAGTTCAAGATCAAGGTCTCCACAGGGTTGGTTTCTTCTAAGGTCTCTCACCTTGACTTGTAGATGGCTGTCTTCTCCCTAAAACCTTCACTCGGTCCTTCTGGGGGGGTGTCTGTGTTTTCAGCTCCTCTTTACAGAAGGGAAACAGTCAGACGGGATTAGAGCCCACTCTCATCACCTCATTTCACCTCATCTATGGCCTCCTTAAAGACCTACCTCCAAATAGAGTCACATTCTAAAGTTTAGTTACTTATTGAGAGGTGGGCGGAGAGGGGCAGACAGAGAGGGAGAGAGAGAATCCCAAGCAGGCTCCACGCTATCAGCACAGAGCCGCACGCAGGGCTTGATCTCCCGACCGTGAGATCATGACCTGAGCTGAAATCGAGAGGGGGATGCTTAACCGACTGAGCCACCCAGGTTTCCCTAGAGTCACATTTAAAAACAAAGTACTGGGGTTAGGACTTCACCACATGAATTTGGGGGGTTCAGCCCATAACACACCAAATAATTCCAAATTATTGGAATTCCAATAATTCCAAACAAAGTCCAAATAACAATGAAATCAACAATACGCCTTATTATTAATTCCACATAAAGCCCATTGACTCTCACTGATGTTTGCCAAACTCTAGTACCTGTAGCCAACCTGTGGTTTCCGTTGACCAATGAGTGTAGTCCGGACATGAATATTGGGTGATATTTTTGTCCACACGAATGAGTAATAAGGATGTGAAACCAGAACGATGCATGTCAGAACTTCACTCCATTGTCAATGACGTGAGCAACGTTTTTGCTGCATCGGGTGACAGTTTTCAAGTGCTATTTACAACGTAACGGCACAGACATGACACGTTTTTAAGTTGAACGTGCACTTGTGACATTATCTCCACCAATTTCTTAAGCCCAGATGGTCAACAAAAACGCCAGAGCCAGCCCTGACCTGTAGTAACTACCAACTTCTGGAGTGAATATACTTCAGCCACAGTTGACTAGCCCCCGGCCTGAAGCTCCTGAACGTGAGCTTGGCAGACGATGGGCCTGGCGTAGCAGCATGTTCCCGCCATACGAGCACAGCAGGTGCAAGCATCTTCAAGAGCGTGGATAATTGTGAAGTGTAGTAAGGCAATCAGGAAGTGGTGAACTTTGAGTACGCGTTACTTTTGTTCTTAACGTAATTCATTTACTTGGCGCCTGAAGTGATTCAACCCTTAACAGTAACCGTGTCTGACAACCGGCTCGAAAATTTCACAAATGGCTCTTGGAAGCCAGTGCAGACTCGGGGCGGGAATCAAAACATTTTTAAAGCTGCTGCCGATTGCCAGAGTTTGGGACACCCAGCCTCTCCATGTCACAGGTGAGGAGAGTCTAGTCTGGCACAGTGGGGGGCGCCTGGGTGGTTCGGTGGGTTGAGCGTCCGACTTCGACTCAGGTCATGAGCGCTTGGTTCATGGGTCCCAGTCCGCATCAGGCTCTCTGCTGTCAGCGCAGAGCCTGCTTTAGATCCTCTGTCCCCCTCTCTCTCTGCCCCTCTCCCTCTCCCCCTTCCCCTCCTCTCTCTCAAAAATAAATAAACCGTGAAAAAAAATAGCAAAGTAACGTCGCTTGGGCGAGAATAAGCACACGGCTGGTTACTGGCCTCCATGGATGAGAGCTCGGATGTCAGGACCGCCAGCTTAGCACAATGTCTGCGGGCCAACGGCCTGTCTCTAAAGTGTGCCTCGTGTACCCCCAAAGTACGATGAGGGAAGGCACAAATGGAAAGATGCACGTGGTCAGGTAGAGAGAGAAAGGGGAAGAGAGAGGGGAGTGATCACCGTGGAGGTAGGGCATCCCAGACAGGGGACCGTCTCGGAATTAGAAACAGATGCATTTAAGGAGGAAGGCAGATAATGCCCTAGTGCTCGAGGAGAAAGACAACTGAGCGGAAAAAACCGATTAACCCGGGGGAGGAGGCCAGCGATCTCTTCGGGTGCGATGTCTGTATGGGAGTGAACGCAGGCAGTGAGTTACGGAGTTTAAAAACAGGACGAGAGCGGGGCCTGGGTGCTCCGGCGGTTAAGCACGCAACTCTTTTCTTTTTTAAGTTTATTTATTTATTTTGAGAGACACGGAGAGAGCGCACGCGGGGGCGGGACAGAGAGAGAGGTGAGAGAGAATCCCAAGCAGGCTCCGTGCTGTCAGTGCAAGCCCGATGCGAAGCTCGACCCCACGAACCACGAGATCGTGACCTGAGCGGAAACCAAGGGTCTGTGAAGCATCCAACTCTTGATTTCGGCTCAGGTCATGACGTGACGGTTCATCCACACCCTTCAATGCATCCGGCTCTTAACGTCAGCCTCTCTCCTGCTCGGACCAGGAACGACTCCGGCTCCCCTCTGCAAGATCAACATCCCTGCCCGAGAGTTTCGTGAACCCTCTCTCCCCCACTTGACTCCTCAGACCCCCGCCCATTTTCCGAGATCCTGCCACTGTCATCTCCATGCTTTGGGTTGGGGAGGGGGACTTAAAACATTACTATGTGACATTTAATACGTTCAAAGGCATAAAGAAAATAAAAAACACCAGTGTTGCCACTGCCCAGCTTGCAGAGTGAACCGTGACCCATTTGAAATCTGACGGGACCCCAGTCGCATCCCCGGCCTGACCGGCTCCCACTCCGAGGCAACGAACAACTCAATTTGGAGATTATCGTTCTTCCCTATCCCTTTCCACCGCCCTACATACACCTGTCTCCCCGAGCAACACAGCACCTTAACCGGCACGTTCGACACCTTTTCATACCGCATACATTCTACAACTTTCATCCTTTTTCACTATTTTTTTTTTTTCTTGTCTCTCTCATGGCTTATCTTAGGCAGTGATTGAAAGTGCAGGCTTGGGCATCGGATAACGCGGGCTCAAATTCTATCTCTACCACTTACTTTGGGCAAGATACGTTACGTCTCTGTGGCTCAGTTTTCTCATTTATGAGACAGAGGCAACGCCCTGCTCACGGCCGGGGCCGCCCGGACTCAGTAAGACATCCCTCGCCCAGGCTGGGAGCCGTCCTCCATGGAAAAGTGCTCTCTAATTATTGACTCATCATTTTTCCATCCACATGACGGTCAGGAAAACCATGCTGAGAAGGAAGGTCCGAACCACAACCGGTGCCCAGAACTGTTGGGCAAAAGGTCAAAGCCACGACATCCCGTGTTTTCTGTGTGCGTTACAACGAAAATCAGTTAAAACAACCATAGGTAGCATCCGTCTATTAAATTAAGGTGTGGTTATCTATTATCTATCCCATTTATATAAATCATTTGATTCTTTCTTGGGCCATTCACCTTTGGGAGACTTTTTTTTTTTTTTAAGTTTATTTATTTATTTATTTATTTATCTATTTATTAGTAATCTCTACACACAACTTGGGGCTCAAACTCACGACCCTGAGATCAAGAGTCTCATGCTCTTTTAACTGAACCATCGGGCATCCCTCAGGAAACTTATTTTACCTAAAAAAAAAAAAAGATTTTCAATTTGCAGGCCCCTACGGACAGAACATTGTTGGTACATGACCAGAGTGACTTCCAAGGCAAATAAAGTGTTAACGAGGCTGTGATTAATGATGACGCCATATGCCATCACCTCATCACCAGTAATCTCAGCCAGTCCCTGTGCCTTCTGGATTTTCTTGGCCGGTGGACTTGGCCCGGGTTGGTCAGAATGTTCCCTGTCGACTTCAGCAAGTGTGGGAGCAAAACATAATCAATTCCAAAAGGGGATTTGAAGATGGCCATTGAATTAGCTCGACTGATATTTTTTCCAATGTCTCCTTAGATATCGGGACACACAATCCAGTGTAAAATGCCAATCGCTTCCAATCGGGTGCTATTTTGAATTGCCCAATATTAGATCAAAACATTTGTTTATCTTTATGATGTGTATTTGCTACTATTTTCCAATACAAAATAAATTAGTCATGTGTTCAAATGGAAATGGAAATTGCCATGGTAGTTTTTCTGGCTTTGGAAAGAGTGAGTTTTTACTTTTCTTCTTGTTAGTGGTTTCCATCAGCATCACAAATGAATCATTCTCCAGGAGAGGTTACCCCATTGAGAAAGAATCTGATTTCCTGCCCCTTTCTGGCGGGAGGGTAATGGGTCCCTTAACTGTGAGAGTAATTTTGGGAAACTAACAGACCATAAATCATGGCGGCCTGAAGTCTGTCCCTATCACAGGCAAAGAAGCTTGGCTATAGTCAAGCTTTTTCCAGCTTGGGCCAGTGCCTTCACCAACACACTCCGCAAAATTTATTGTCAAGTACATAATGGGTCCAACTTGTTCCCTAAATACTGTAATGAAGTAATTCATTATCAAAACCAGACTCAACATCTAGAAAAAGAAGTAAAGTTATCTCCTGTGACAGTAAAACGCTACCAACTTCAGTAATGGTGACAGCACAGCATCTTACAACTTCTAAACAATTCTCATCTTACTAAGAAGCTGGTCCTCATGAGATCCCTTCTGGCTAGAATTAAATACCACTTCCTCTATGGCCTTGTGCAATAAAAATTCCTCCTCCCTCCTTGATTCCTGGAGCGATCTGTAAATTGAGGCTCGTGCTGTCTTCCCTATTTGGTTCTGTTTTTAATTATCAAGAGGTTTTCCAGATTCCTCCCCGCACAAACCTCAGATTGCCCTGTGTGTTCACCTACCCAACAGGACAGAAAAACCTACTTACTTCTCAGAGCGTATTCTTTGGGCTCCACTGAATTCAAGTCGGAAAGGAATTCGTCAGTGTCCTGCATGCATTTGAGAGAAACGTTTCCTGTGGGGAGCGCAAAAGGTAACTGCAATTGAAAAGACAGAAAACAAAAGAACAAAGTCAGGACCATCATTGTCCCTTAACCTGTCAGGATAAAACTCCCCTCCTAGACAAGGAGGCTTGTATTTATGAAACACTCGTCTATAATATGTTGGGGGGGAAATGTGACATTGCTCCGTCCTTAACACGCACAGACAAGTTGTGTGTCCTCAGCCACCTGCAAAGCAGCGGAGATGAGCAAACCATGGAAACCGATTTATACACAACTTGTTATTGTTCACTAAACTCGCACTGTGGATATGGGGGCCGCTGAGCACCTGGCTTCCTTTAGCTACGCAGATTAACATTGCCAGCTAACACGAATATGCTAGATTTTCCCTGGCTAGATGGTCTTGTGTGTTTCTCTGGGTTTAAAAAATTTACCGAGGATGTTAAGTGGCAGTATGTGGTTTTTTTCCAAGAACGATTGTGAACCCAACCTATAAAACATTCGGATAAATCAGAAGCCAGCAAGGGCTTCCTCGTGATGGTCTGGACACCCTATATGTCCGGGGATGGGTCTGCCGGACTTGAAAGCGATGTGGGAGGGGGAGTGATGAACTCCCCCGCGGAAAGAGACGGCGTTACAGGGGGACGAATAAGTTCCTGCACCCTCATGTGGGGGCTTAGAGCACACATCCTGGGAAGGACATTATGCCGACAGGAGACCAGGGTAGCGCTACTCACCTACTTGAAGAACACGTCAAATGCGTGGCCCTGGATTTCTCGTGGTGTAAATATCGTCTTTCCAGAGAGCCTTTCTTTAGATAGTAATCTCCTGAACTGCATTTCAAACGTGAAGCAAACCTCGTTTCACACCTGTGGGTGGCTGTGACTTGCTTGTACTTCCTGCTCAGTGGCCCCACGGAAGCCTCTAGCATCTCAGAGCTCTACCCTTCGTCTGAGTCCACTGGAGCTGCTGTCACAAAACACCACGGACTGGGGGAACAACAGAAATCCACTTCTCACACTTCCGCAGGCTGGGAAGTCCAAGATCGAGACCCCAACGTGGTCGCATTCCAGCGAAGGCCCCTTCAGGGGCGGTCGCCCCCACAGCCTTCTCCCTGCGCCCTCGCATCTCTTCTATAAAGATGCAAATTCCATTCATGAAGGCGCCATCCTCAATCACCTCCAGAAAGCCCAGCTCCCAAGCACCATCATCTCTGGGGCTTAGGATTTCAACATACGGATTTGGGGGTGGACGCAAACATTAGGACCGGAGCGCCTGTCCTTACGTATGTTCCTGCGCTCAATGCTGTGCCCTGTCCCCGGTGCCCGACTCCAAGCCCAGCTCCTCTTAGGCATTACCTTCCTACCGAGTAGGTTCTTCTAGTCCATCCTCCTGGGCTTTCCCTCAGGTGAGGCGAGGTGCCTGTTCTCTGTGCTCCATCATGGTCTCTCCAGACTCTCCTCACCTCCCCACGCTGAGGACTGCTGACCTCTGTGTCTCTCTCTCCTCCAGCCTGGAAGCTCCATGAGGGCAGCCACTCTGCCCTTTTCATGCCTTTCCGAGAGGCAATTTACATGCTAGCCGAGAGCAAAGTTGACCCTTACCTACTGGGTGACCCCAGCAGTCTCTCTGCCCAGTTACCTCATCTGGAAACTTGGGATAATGGTCCTGACCTCTTGGAGGTATTTTGAGATTTAAATAATACATTTAAAGTACTAGGAGAGGGGCTCCTGGGTGGCTCAGTCGGTTAAGCGGCTGGCTCTTGATTTCAGTCCAGGTCACAATCTCACGGTTTGTGGGTTCAAGCCCCGTGAACCCGTGTCAGGCTCTGTGCTGATACCGAGAAGCCTGTTTGGGATTCTCTCTCTCCTCTCTCTATCTCTGCCCCTCCCTGACTCATGAGCGTGCTTTTTCTCTCTTAAAAATAAATACACTTTAAAATAAAATCTTTTTAAAAATTCGTTTCTTGAAAAAATAGATTAGATCACATTACCAAGGGACAGTCTTAACACAATAAAAAAGAACTTTCTAGTAGCCCAACCTCTCCAAAGATGAACGGGGCTCTTTTATACAGCATAGATGTCTCCAACCTGGGAAACGGTCAAGTACTGGATGAACCCTGGATGAGGGTGTTAGAGAAGAGGTCCAGCATCCCATGGGGCTTATACCAATGACCTTGAAGGTCATCTCTGACCTTGAAGGTCTTCTCTGACCTTGAAACCTTCCGAGTCTTCCTTCAAAATTATTGTCTGCCATCAAGGCGTTGGTTTGTTACTACGCACGTCTGAAGTTGTTCTTAAATTGAAGTAGAAAGTTCAATGCAAAATAAATGACAGATAACAGCCAACCCAGAGCGACACAGAGAGAACAGCAACTTCTACTTAAAAAGGGGACCTAATCTGGCACCAGAAACAAGGGGTCAGTGATTAACTGCTTCAGTTTCCCCATCTGTGAAGTTGTAAAATCATGGCTCAAGCAGTTGTTTTCTAGGATTAAATGGGAGGTCCTGAGTCACGAATAATGTGAGTTAGTAGTTATTAGAGTTCTCCGTTCCAAACGTATCTCCCGCACTTAACTATCTTCCTACATTTCAAAATAAGGGTGGTGGAGGAGGCCAGATGACACTAGAGGTTTAGGTCATTTGGAAATTTAAGAATGAATAAACAGAGGGGCGCCTGGGTGGCTCAGTCGGTTAAGCGTCCGACTTCGGCTCGGGTCATGATCTTATGGTTCGTGGGTTCGAGCCCCGCGTCGGGCTCTGTGCGGACAGCTCGGAGCCTGGAGCCTGCTTCGGAGTCTGTGTCTCCCTCTCTCTCTGCCCCTCCCCCTGCTCACGCTCTGTCTCACTCTGTCTCTCAAAAATAAATAAATGTAATAATAATGATAATAATAAAAAGAATGGCTAAACAGAAAAATCTCTGACACCAGAATTGATTTCCACCTTGTTGTCCGTGGTCTAGTCACTCAAACTAGGAGCGGTTCTGCTCTTGTTATTGTGTTAAATACTCCAGCTTTCATCAACCGGGGGAAATATAATGAGCAGAACCCACGTCCACATTTTTTTAAATGTTTAGTTTTGGAAGAGAGAGTGAGAAAGCAGAGGAGGGGCAGAGAGAGAGGGAGACAGAGGATCTGAAGCGGGTTCTGCGCTGACAGCAGAGAGCCCAATGCAGGGCTTGAATCCACAAACTGTGAGATCATGACCTGAGTCGAAGCCAGAAGCTTAACCGATTAAGCCACCTAGACACCCCCACACATCCACATTTTAATCATTAACAATAAAAACCATCTGAAATGACTTTAAGGGGCACCTGGATGGCTCAGTCATTTGAGCCTCTGACTTCAGCTCAGGTCACAACCTCGCGGTTCATGAGTTCGAGTCCCACATCAGATTGTCTGCTGTTGGTGCAAAACCTGCTTCAGATCCTCTGTCCCCCTCTGTCTCGGCCCCCCCTCCTGCCCCGCTTGCACACTCTCTCTCTCAAAATATAAACATTAAAAAAAAAA